CCCGGACCGGAGTGGGAGAATGGCTGAGCAGGAGGCCGGGGCTGGCTGTGGCCGAGCACGAGGAGTGCACTCATGTTTTCCAGATAACATTTTTTTCCCCTGCTTTTCACTTGCAGTTCTTATTTAGGATTTCAGCTCTCTGAAATAGAGCTCCAATGTATACAAGTGTCTCATCTGAGGCATGGTACTGCCTGGCTGTGCCAGTCAGTCCTGCAGCAGAGGAAAAACTTCTGAGGTTGTGCTGGCTCCCGTGGTGACATGGAAGAGCCACTGCCAGGGTGTGGGTATCCGAGTCCCTGAAGGTGGCTCTGGGCACTCCCTGTCCCAAGCAGGCAGAGACCCACGGCGGGAGGGGACGGGGTCGATGGCTGGAGCAGGGACCAGCCCAACCCATCTCCTCCTGCCCTGTGTGCACCCTAGCCTGCCCTGCCTGCCCTGCCTGCCCTGCCTGCACCCCTGCTGGCCCCCCTGCCCGGTACGCGCTGGGCAGATGGGGAGAATCAGCAGCGCTAACGCTTTCGCTGAGCACTTTCATTTTCTACCCTTTCACTTATTAATTTTCTCACCTTCTTTTTCCTACCAGAATCCATTAGCTGGACACAGAAGAAGTAGTTTATATTCCTATATAGTCTAATTTTTTTGAAAATCACACTTTTGCAGACAAAAGACAATGGCTGAAACACAGCACTATCACAGGGTGGATGAACTGCAGCTCATACTGTGGCACTGCTGGAACGATTTCATCTCATGCAGTGAAACTCATTCATCAGCTCGTGGGTTTGGTGTCTTAAGGGATGATGCAGTGGGGAGCCTGCTCTGCTTCCCTGCTCAGGCAGGATGTCTCTTTAAGGCAATAAAAGAGTTCTTTAACAAATTAATGATGTTTTTAAGTTAGAAGTTCTCATGGATCTCGCACTAGGGCAGGAGATTCTTCTTTCCCCCAACCTATAAGTACATTGATACTGTGTCCAGTGTATATTCATTGATACTGTGTTAGCTTTATATTCCTCTTCCGCAGATAAATCTGCTGCTCTGGCAGTCACCTAGAGACCCCATGTGGTTCCCAAGGAGGTGGGAGGGTTTGTTGTTTGTTTTTGGCTTTTCTTTCGGTTCATTAGGACCAGTTGTTTCAGTCAAGCATTAGATGATCCAAGGTTGCTGCCGTACTGGGGCAGCATCGGGTGGTTTGGATGTGTCCTCCACATACAAATCGAGTGTCTTGGGTCTGGTGGTGTTGAAATAAGAAGTACAAAGATCCCACAGCTTTGAATTTCGTGCCAGATATTCAACAAAGTGTTTGTTCCTTCTATCATTACGCTGTGGCTTGAGCAGCAGCAGGCCTGCCCTGTGCCCAGCATCCTGCTGGCACAGCGGGGAGGGCTGTCTCCCCCATCCTCAGCAATTCCATCATCTTGGCAGACATCCTCACACGCAGAGCAGCTCTGGTGTGGGATTCCTTTGGCCTGTGTAACTTTCTGTATTCGGGGAACTGCTCTAAGCTGGGACTCTTGTGGGGAGGGGGCTATGAGGGCTCCCAGCTGCAGGCCCTTCGGAAAAGGCTGTAAATATGTGAGAGTGGTCGGGTTGTGTTCTTGGACAGTTTCACCAAAAAGCCTGGTTAGGGGTATTTTATTGTGGGGGGAGTGGTTGTTTTTTCCTTTTTTTCCACCAGAGCCTTTTTTTGGTGTTACAGCAGCACTTTGGAGAGCAGATAAAAATCAGTCCCTTGCTCTCCACACTCTGGTGTCTGGGCTCCTTTCCTCTTGCCTGCAATTTTGTTTCATTCATCTTGTGCAAGAGCCGGAACCAGACTCCAGACCTGAGCATTGGCTGTGCTGACCCCGTACCCCAGAGACACCTGCCAGCAGGGGCGAGCCTGGCTGCGGGCACGAACCCACCAAGAGGTTGGGCTCAGGCCACTGGTGTGCCGGCCCCACAGAGAGGTTGGGTGTCACCCCTCTGGGACCCATCTCTGCTTTTCATTTGCACTCCTGCATGCAGCCTGTAGCTGAACCCTGACACGAAACCCTGTGCATTTCCCAGGGCAGTGGCTTTGAGCTCCCTCTTCACCACCTTCTGAGATGGTGACAAATCTCCTTTATTTATTCGATAGTGTCAGGAACCTTTATGCTATTTATAGGCTGTGCCCATGCCCCTCCCGAGATGTTTGCAAGACAGATTTAGCCCCTTCAGCTCCTCATGGCCTGTCCCCAGGGATCGGCTGCGATCCTTGTATCGCCCTCCCAGCCCGTGCGCCGTGAGCAGGAGCTGCGTGAGGGTGACTCACGCACTGTGCTCGTCCGGGCAGACCTCATCTCCCATGAATCTCGGCCCTCCAGAGCTGGGGGAGCCCAGCCAAGTGTCTGCTTCCAAAAGGCACCAGCAAGGGAGTGGTGGAATTAGGCAGAGGAGGCAGAAAAAGCCTGTGGAGGAATGCTGCCGTGGGAGGGGAAAGAGTTCTGTCAGGAGGGGCTGGGGTGCTGGGGGTCCTGCAGCTGCTCCCCCTCCACTGCAAAAACCAAAATTGATCAGACAGCCCCAAAACTCCAAATAAATTGCTCAGTTTTGTAGCTTCAGTCTGAGCTGCTTGTTCTGGGTGAGATACCGATCCCATGCTCCCCTGTGAGCCACCCTCACTGACAGTGCAGCCCCACAGTGCCTGGGCTGGTTCTACCCTCATCTTCAGCTGAGCCATTTATGCACCTCGGGAAGGCCCTGGAGGGTGTTTTGGAGGGAGGGGGGAGCTTGTTCTGCTGGTCCTCTGAGGTCAGTGTGAGTGAGCCCACACTGAGCCAGAATGTGTGCAGAGCAGCAGCCTGAGTGGCCACGCAGATCCAGGGCAGAGCAGCAAGGCCACAGGTGTCAGTGTCCCCCTGGGGACACAGTGGGGACACAGGGATGTGTGTGACCAGCATCTGGTCTGTCAGACCAATGCAGCCGTGCTGGCCAGAGCTGAGCTGCTGAATCCTGAAGCTGGGACTTTATTGGGCCTTTCCTGGGGCTGAGCTGTCTACTGACCATCTCGGGTACCCAGAGCTATGGCTGGGGCTGGCAGAATCCACTGGTGACCCAAGCAGTCAGTGGGTCTGCCTCAGTCTTGGGTCTGAAATTTCATTTGTTCCATTGTGAGGCTGTGAGGTGGCAGCTAATGGGGCAGTTCATCTGCAGCCTTGCTGGGAAGCCCAACTGGGACTGCTGGAGCTGTGCAGCAGGAGCCAGTAACCACCTCCTGCCCGAGTCCCACCTGTGGTGCCCAGCAGTGCCAGCTGCCATCCTGGCCAGGTGGAAATGGCCACCCAGAGAAGGGCACGCTGCTCATCCCAAAGGTGTTGGGGCTGGCTGTGACCTCTCTGCCTTCTCTTCCTCTCCTCCCCAGGCTCCCCACTCCTCTCCAGCACAATGGCCTGCCAAGAGAGCGAGTACCTGGATGACCAGAAGAAATGTGTCCCCTGCAGAAAGTGCATGCCTGGGCAGGAGCTTTCCAAGGTAAATTGGCTGCTCTGTAAGGAATGGGAGTCATCTATCACCAAGGCTTTTACAGTGCTGGGTGAATCCTCTTCCAGCCTCCCTTCAGAAGGATGATCTTAGGTCCCGGAATGTTGGGAAGAACTCAGACATGGTAGGATGGGATGGTGAATTGTTTCACCCACCCTGGGTAGGAGGGTGAGACAATGGAAGCAGGAGGTGGTGAGGGATTTTGGGTTGCTCCTCATGCTGCCTTGTTTCCTTTTTTGCTGATGGAAGTCTGAATTTCCTCTGGTTTGTAGCCCTGAGGTCACACTGCCTGGCCGGGCTGCATGTGGGTGGGTGCCAGCAGGACAATGCTGTGGGTGGTCCCAGCCCAGCCTCAGTGGGGGGTGTCCCAGCGGGGTCTCCCCAGATCTGCCTCCCTGGGCACGGTGCTGCCGGAGCTCTCCAGCAGCCGCGGTGCGCCGGCGGCCACGGCCGGGCACGAGACTGTTCTGGGGGAGCCGCGCTGCTCTCAGCTGGGTTCTGGGAACCCTGCACATGAGTAGTGGCCCCACTACCCTTTGCCCCCAAAGGAGGGACACTGTTCCCCTCGGTAGCATTTGGAACCCACCGTGGCCCCTTGCAGCCGTGCCCCCAACCTTGTGCCCTGCAGGACTGCGGCGACGGCAGCGGTGGGGACGCGCAGTGCGTGGCCTGCCCTCCCAGGAAATTCAAGGACCGCTGGGGACACCACGGCTGCAAGCCCTGCCTGTCCTGCGCCCTCATCAACCGCCTCCAGAAGTCCAACTGCACGGCGACGGCCGACGCGGTGTGCGGGGAGTGCCTGCCAGGGTGAGCAGGGCCGGCCTGGCAGAGCCACTGCGGCTGCGCCGGGGGCCGGGCAGGGAGGGCGTGGGCACAGAGGGTGGTATTTGAAGCTACCTGGGTCGTGGGACCTAAGAGGAGCCTGATGACCCAGGCCTGCCTCTATGAAGACTTTGCTCATTACATGGAAGTCAGACCGATCTGATGGTCCCCTTGTAGCTCCAGAGAAGGGAACCTGAAGGCTTCCATAAATCAGCTGTGGAAGAAAAGTTCCAGACCCAAGTTGTTTCAGTGGCCAAGCCCTGAAAGATGAGGGGCTGTAGACCACTATGGTTGATGGTCCCAAAAGAGGAGGACAGAGGGGTGATGTGTTTAAGGAGTTACTGAAATGAAACTGCTGTATACAGCCAGCCTACACCAAGCCTGAGGTCTGCAGACACACGTTGACCACCAGTGGGACTGGGAGAGGAGCGAGATGAGGCTTTGGTGTATGAGCTTCTTGCTGGACACAGCTGTAGCTGGGGTGTTCCTGGTCCTCTGGAGAGCTGCTTATCTCTATAATCTGCTTCAGCAGACATGGGGCCAGGGAGGGAGGGGCTGTTGGAGGGATGTCACTCCTTAGCAAATGGCTAGGCATGAACAAGTAGCTGCGATGCAGCTTCAGCTGGCGATGAGAGCTCTGCTGCTGGGGGTGGCCCAGCTGGCTGGGCAGGAGTGGAGGGTCAGCTGTCCCCCACTGCCATGGGCTGGGCAGCACAGCTGGCTGCACAGCAGGGGTGGTGGGGCCTCACCAGGGGCTGGGCACTGCTGAGCCCCTCTGCTCTGTTGGCAGGTTTTACCGGAAAGCACGGATCAGCGGGCAGCTGGAATGGGAGTGCATCCCCTGCACCAAGCAGACGCCCTCCTCCGAGCCACAGTGTAGGTGCCCCTCACTGGGGGAGATCGGGGTGGGTGGTATGGACATGACAGAGCTGCAGCCCCACTGCAGAGGAGGAGGGGCACAGTCATGGCATGTGGCGAGGGACACATGGGAAGGGGTGGTCCAAGCCTCAAAGTTTGGCTTCAGCATTTTGTGACTGATGTTTGCAGGTCGCTCCAGAACTAACCTGGTGAAGGTGGCCATTCCCACTGTACCACCACAGGACACGGCCCTTCTTGCACTGACCAGCAGCGCCCTGATCATCATCGTCCTGGTGCTTCTGGCACTCTCCATCATCTACTGCAAGCGGTTTTGGAAGAGCCAGTGCCAGCGAGGTGAGTCAGTGCTCTCCTCCTCTCTGTGCTATTCACCTGTGCCCGTGGTTCCTTCTTGCTGTGTAGAGTATTGCCCCAAGCATTGCCACTTTGACAGCACAGTGACCCAGCTGCTACATGGCTCATACAGAATAGACACCTTGCCCTGCTTCTCATGCCTGCAGGACCTCTTGTGTGCTTTGCCTGCTTAAAGACACAGAGGATCCTCCCTCCTCCTTGGTGCCATCAGGAGGAAACAGAGAAGGCCATTTTGCACTCAGAACTGACAATCCTGACTTCTGGGATTTCTCAGTTTGGGCAGCTCTTTGCTGCTGAGGGAAGAGGGCAGGAGGTTTGGTGGCCAGGGTTGGGGCACGTTGGCATCCAGCAGCATGCCAGGGAGCTGCTGGCTCCCGGCTCCTTGCCAGCAGACATACCACAGGGCTGAGGACATGCTGGGGAAGTGAGCCAGGCCTTTGCTCAGGCTGGTTCTCTTCTATCCTCCAAGTCTTCCTGAGGACTCAGAACTTCTCGGGCCAGCGAGCAATGTTCCCGACCGCAGCGGCGCCCGGCAGGTTCCTGTGTGAGGAGCAGATGTCTGGTCCCTGCTGCCTGGGTGTGAAGAACCTGAGCCCTTGCTACAGGCAGGCAGAAGGTACTTGCTCTTGTGCCTTCCCATGGGGAGGGAGGTGGTGCTGGGCTCCAGCTTGAGTGTCCCAGGACCTGCTGAGATGCCCTGAGGCAGGAAGGATGGAGCTGGATGGTGAGCTTTGCTGAGCCACGTCTGTTTCTGGTTCCAGGCCCTGTGGAAGTGGTGCAGTTCGTTTCAGACGGGGAAGCTGTGGGTCTCCAGCTCCCCTCTCTCCAGCCAGAGATGGACTTGCCGCCGGCCATTGTGGTCAGCGCTGCCTCCAAGGCCCAGCTGGGCAGGAGCCTCCTGGAAAGCCAGCCCCTCATCCGGGCCTCGGGCCATGGTGACTGCCTGGCCGGGGTCCTGCCGCCCCCCGCCCCAAGGCAGGGCCAGCCAGGCACGGTGGAGGCCCTGGCCCCCCTCTCCTCTTGCGCCTCCGAGATGCAGCACAAGTGGCCACATGCACCAGTGGAATGCACCGAGCTGGACCTCCAGAAGTTTTCCACCCAGGCAGAGTTTGTGGGCAGCGAGCGGCCGGACGATGCAACGAGCCAGGCAGTGAAGAGGATCCCGGCAGAGAGCAGTGGTGTGGTGCAGGAGGGGGCCCATCACTTGCCCCCCACCTTCCCAAATCCCATTGCTGATATCCCCCCTGGGGAGCGGCTGGTAAGTTCCTCCAGCCTCATCACTCCTCTGAACTGCTGCTGAGGCTCAGGCACAGGAGCTGGGCTCGATGGAGGGGTAGGGATGTGGACTGAGGTTTGTTGATATGGGATGGCACAGCTGGAGGAGAAGCACCATTCTGTGAGCCCCTGTGATGGCCCTGGGAACAGTGCCAGGCATTGCTGTTCTCAGCAGACTGCCACCAACCTTGGGGTTTTTGTCTCACCAGGTGGATGATGCCCAGAGCCTGGTGACTCAGATCAGCAGCGCAGCCAAGGGTAAGTGGCCTTCCAGCCTCATCTTTATTCTCTGAGTACTGGGATATCAGAGAGGTGGGTTCTTGGAAGAGGGCTCCTCCAGAAGCCCACCATGGCTGCATGGAGGTGCCAGGGATCACAGGGACTTACCTGACTTGTGGCCTTTGGTGCTGGTTCACGGGATGCATTTTCTGTGATGCTGCCTTGAGTGGCCTGCGGGCCGGTGGCTGATGGAAGCCCAGTTGTCCCCAGTTACCAGCTTCCCCAGGACTGAGCCAGCTCCATGTTGCTGAGCTCTGAAAGTGATGTTGGAGGAGATGCCTGCCCTGGCAGGATGTCCTGTCACCTGCTCAGCAGGGGCTGGGGCTGGAGCCCAGCTGCTCTGTTTTCCCTTATCCTGGACAGGGAGGACAGGTTCTAACCCAGCTCCACTGTGATGCTGCCCCCCAGGTCTCCTAATAGCGGAGCTGCCGCATTCCTTGGTGCAGTCACTCGCCTTCTTGTTGGACCCTTCCTTGAACGGTGTGAAGAACTTCGGCCACGTGGCACTGGAGCTGGGGCTCGTGCCCCAGTTGCTGGGACGGATCTCAGGGTTCGAGCAGCTCGTCGCACACTTCACGTATGTGGGAGCCGCTGTGACCGTCCCGCTGCTGGCACAGGCGCTGCAGCGGCTCCAGCGCTTCGACGCCTTGCTCCTGCTCTGTGACCACTTCACACTCAGCCCAGCGACAGACCACCAGCACTAGAGGACGCGGAGGGATGAGGAAAGCTCTGTGCACTGTTGGTGTGCGAGAGGATCCAGTGGCCTTCAGTCATGTAACTTCCCCGGTGTGCATGGGGGCAGAGCATGGAGACGGTCTTTGCATCACGGAATGGAAGGATGCGAGGGGTTCTGGGAAGCACGGCTGTGCCTGCTCCCAGCTCCATGTGGGAGGGCTCACTCAGGCCCCTCCAGAAGCTGTTATTCTTTGGCTGTGACACCCTTGGTCACTGTGCTGCCCGTGATGCAGTGCTCTGGCTCTGCAGTGAGGCCTGTCCTGCCCCAGTCTTTCCGTGGGGTCCCTCAGCCATGGGGCTCGGTCTCCATGGGCAACACCCTCCTATGGGCCTAGCCATCGCCTCCCCTCCATTCCAGCTTTTCTGTCCTTCCTCTGGTCTGTGCTTTCCTAGGTGCCAGATGCCACTTTCCCAGTTTGCTTTTTGGTTGTTTCTCTTCCTCCATGCTGGGATTTCCTCAGCAGAGGACCTGGCCATGGCTCACGTGCCGGGCTCCAGCCTTTGCCTCTCTGTGCCACCCTGGCACCTTCCCCTTTGTGTCTATTTGTCCTGGCAGGACTCTCAGACTGATCCCCAGGATGAGCTGGTGTACATCTTTGTCCTGGGGCTGTGGCTGCTGGCCCGGGACAGGTGCTGGCTCACTCCCGGGCTCCTGCCATGCCCACAGCCATCTGCTGCCCATCGCCTCCAAGGCTTTGGGGTGGCACAGGGCAGCAGGGGCAGGGTCGCTGCACTGCTTTGCCCTGGGGAGTGGGTGGCAGCTGGGGGCTGTGGTTGCAGTCAGTGATGATGTCCCTGTGCCAGCCACAGCAGGGCCAGCTCCTTTTAAAATATTTTTCTTTTTTTTTTTTTTCCTGCCTATAAATGGCCTGATTTCTCATTCCTGGGAGTTGCTACTGGGGAGGGGAGAGAGACCTTCTGCTTCTAGTTTCATCCTGAGGGATTTGTCAGAGTTTGCCGTGGCCCCGCTGCCACTGAGTGCCCCAGTTTCTGTTGCTGTACCCGGGGCTGAGGGCTGGAGGTGGTCAGGCTGTTCTCTGTCAGCGGCCCCGGGCGGGAGCGGCGGCTGCGGGGGCGCGTTCCCGTGCGGGGCGCGGCGGCGCGGGGGCGGCGGGCACGCGGGGCTGCGGATGCCGCTCCCGCGGGGTCACGGGTGGAGCAGCTGCCGGCGGGGCTGCGGCGGCAGCGCGGCTCGGTGCCAGGCGGCACCGACACGGTGTCCGACAAGGGTCACCCCGGCTGTCCCGAGACTCCCGGGCGGCATCGCCGAGGCTGAGCCGGTGGTGCTCGCTCGGGCTCTGTTGCTCTGTCCCGCACGGCCGCGGTGGGTGCACCGAGCGCTGTGTGCGGTCCCGCCCATGGCGGGGGCTCCGGCCGAGCCGGCGGACGGTGGTCGCCAGCAAGCGGCACTGTTACCCCGCCAGCCCCGCCCGCCGAGCCCGCAGGCTTTGCCTTTATGTGACCACAGTACCTGGAAGAAGCGGGTGCCGTTCTGGGAAGGCAGCACCCTCCAGTCCCGGGTATTAATAGCTGCTCGTGTTTCTTTTCCCTGTTCGGTGCTGTTGGGACTCAAACGCACCCAGGATATGCTCAGATAAGCAGAGGCGTGGGCAGTTTCAGCTGGATCTGACACTTTCTCTCCCTCGCTGCTTGTTTCTTCCACAGTCAAGGTCATTTTATTGCTCTTTGCTCCCCAAGACCCAAAGTGTTGGACCTCGTGCCATTTGGGGCCGGGGTTAGTTGGACTCTCGCTGCACACTCGGGTTATTAGGGAGCAGCCAGCAGTGTTGCTGCAGCACACACAGCCTGGGGCCAGGGATTTCCTGTTTGAGGTTTCTCTGCTGCAGGGAGAGTGCTGGCATTAATCACCTCATAAAATCCAATAAATATTTAATTCCTCTGTGGGCACACTTGGTCACTTCCACTGGGAAGGTAGATAACTTCACCCACAGCATCTGAGTAAGAGCCTTTCTGCAGCTCAGCTCACCAGCTCTGGCTTTGAAGTTGGGACTGGTCTGGGTGGCTTGTCCTGCATGTCCCTGTGTCACCGGTGCCACCAGGGTGTGGTCACTTGGGGTGCACAGAGCAGCAGCAGCCAGACAGGATGGCAGAGCCAGCCCCCTCCTGTCACATGGCAGCATCTGGAGCAAAGGCTGGGCAGGAAGGGCTGTTAAACTAAACCCACAAATAACAGGCACATGTCACAGGTGTGCTGCAGGTCCTTCCATGTGCTGGGCAGCTCTGCTGGTGTGCCAGGGTGGGGTGGGCTCTGGGCCAGCAGATGGAGTGAGGCTTTAATTCTTTATTTTTCTCAGTTCGATTAAAAATCAACCCCATTCCCTTCATAGCAAACTATTATTTTTCAGCTGTTTGATGTCTAAGCAATATTATTTACAGCCAAAACTTAACCCCTGCCTTGATGAGGTAGTGCATAGGATGGGTGTGTGCTGTGCCATGTGCAGGTGTGTGCTGTGCCATACATGGTGCATGGGGTGGGTGTGTGCCATGCCATGCAGGCCGTGTAGGGCATTGTGTGCCCCATCGTACGCAGTGCGTAGGGTGGTGTGTGCTGTGCCACGTGTGATGTGTAGGGTGGTGTGTCCATTCCATGTGTGGTGTGTAGGGTGATGTGTGCTGTGCCGTGTGTGGTGTGCAGAGTGCTGTGTGCTGTGCCATGTGTGATGTGTAGGGTTGTGTGTCCATGCCTTGTGTGGTGTGTAGGGTTGTGTGTCCATGCCTTGTGTGGTGTGTAGGGTGGTGTGTCCATGCCATGTGTGATGTCTAGGGTGGTGTGTCCATGCCATGTGTGATGTGTAGGGTGGTGTGTGCTGTGCCACGTGTGATGTGTAGGGTTGTGTGTCCATGCCATGTGTGGTGTGTAGGATGGTGTATGCAGGGTGCTGTGTGCCACGCCATGTGCAGTGTGTAGGGTGATGTGCTGGTGCTCAGGGTGAGTGTAGGCTGTGCCACAGCTCCTGCTCCACTGGCACTGCCCCTCAGGCCCCAGCCATGCCACTGGATGTGCTCCCTCGGCACTGGGCTGGCAGGGGCTGGTTTAAGGTGTGTTTTAACTGTTCTCAGTGCCCCTCTCAGAGCCTCACATGTGGTATCAGTGCAGGTCTCTGTGGCTGGTGCTCCAGCAGGGCTTGACATCGCACAAGAGCATTGCAGGACGGGGCTTTTCAGCAGTGAGGCCTCCCCAGCTCCCAGCCAAGGGCTGCTCCCCACTCTCACTGTGTCCATGGCAGGCACCTTCCTTCAGCTGCGGTGACAAAACCAGCTGTGTTTACAAGGGCCAAAATTTCTACAGGTGGCCTTTGGCCAATGCCCCTGGGGATCCTTTGGCCAGCCTGCCTCAAGCCCAGCTGGAGCCCTCAGGGAACCATGGGAGCCTGAAAACAGGGATAATACTGGGACTTGGACATCAGAATTATGCCCATCCCTGCATGAGGAACTGCTTCAGTGGGGAACCAATGGACTTGATACTTGACTTTTGCCTTTTAATAGTGTTTTAAACACAATACATGGAAGTTAAGGGAAGGAAATTCCCATAGTGCTGGATCTCATGTCACAGCCTCAGGAAGCTGTTTGTGCCAAGCGGCGTGGCTCTTGGGGAGGTGAAAGAAATTAAATAACTCAGCATCTGTGCAAAGTTGAGCTGGGGCTGAACAGTGGAAACACTCCTGTGCAAGGGGGTTATATTTTACAAGCAATTGGTTTTGACACCATTCTTGTCTGGAAGTCTGATTTGCAGAGGAATTTGTATGATAAGTTTAAATCCAGCCCTGTTCTGAGAAGCTCTTAAGCATAGACCTAAAATAGGCACATACTTCAGTGCTGGTAAAGTGTTTATTCCGATGAACAGTTGGGGAACAACCCTTGGATGCTGTTCCTGAACAGGGTGCTCTGGAGAGCTGCCTCCTCACTGTGCTCTTACAGGAATAGGCAATACTGACAAAGACATTGTTTTACTGATCTGGGCACACTTCTTGGAAGGGTCTGCAAGTGTCAGGGGTAGATGCCCTCTGTGTTGGACTATTTTATACTGCAGACTCTGGTGCTTTTCAAAAAAAATAATCACTACATTTCTGTAGCCATGGTTTACCCAGGGTAATACATGGTGTTTTTTATGGTGGATGTTATTTTTCTTTAAGGTTACGAATAGGTTATTTATATTTTTGTAAATTCTGTGTTGTTACCATTGTAATTCTGATGTAGCATTGCTTGTTAGGTTTGGGGTGTTGTCTGTGTTCAAATCTAGCAGTAGCTGAAGCTCCTGCCTTCCGTGTTAATGGTGGGAGTTCCCCCACATTCCTCCAGACCTGGTGCTCTTGAGTGCTGTGTGTTTGTAGTTCAATAAATTTTGGATCCAGAGGTGATGATGCTCAGTGAGTTTTGATTCCCCTCCCTGTGGGTCCCCTGCCCACCTGCTGGTGGGGGCAAATGCTGCAGGGGCTGGAGGGGGCTGGTGGGCCCTGTCTGTCAGAGGCCTGTCTGGCAGGGCAGGCAGGGCTTCTCAGAGAGCTGCTGGAGCAGCTGGGGCTGTCAGCCTCATCCCCTGGTGTGGAAACAGGCAGGAGGGGCTGAGCAGGCACTGCTGGATGGAGCAGCCACAACCCTGGGCCCATCCCCACAGGACACCTGCCCAGACCATGAGCATCAGCTTCTGGGTTTGTGTGGGTTTAACTTTCTTCAGAAGGGCCAAGTCTCAGGTGGGGTTTGCTATGTGGCCTGGGGACGGGGAGAGGCAGAGACCCCTAAATGATGGAGCTCCCATTCCCAAAGCTTCTCCGAGGAACAGCTGCTGTTTAAGCTCAATAATTACAGTGTTCGTGCTCTTACACTGGGTCTGCTTAAAATAATTATTAGCACGAAGGATGATTTTCTGTTCTAGCTGAAGCTATGATACTTGTCCAAACTCTGGCAGGCTCTGTGGGTGCTTGCAGTGCTGCAGCTTGTCCTGCGTGTGAGGATCCCCACGCACTGCCTGCAGCCCTGGCTGCCTCTGCCACACCACAGGGCAGTGGGGCAGCCTCTGGAATCAGGGCCCTGAAGAACCAGTCATCCACAACCCAACACAAAACCATGGCAGTGGTAGAGGTATTTGGCATCCACAGTTTCCAAAGAAGCTGTTTCCATGGAGCACACGGGTTCTTGGAGCCTGTTGTCACAGACGTTTGACACGGGGCACCCCAGGGGTTCTGAGAGCACCCAACCTTGCCACAGTCTACAAGTGGTGACAATCCCAATGTCCCTGCCTGCACCAGCCCAAGGTGGAGGGTGTGGGCAGGGTGCTGTGGCCCTCCCATGGGTAACCTGACCGCAGAGCCCAGCCCGTGCCTGTCAATTGCCCAAGGCCACTGGCACTGCAGGAAGGCAAGAGGAGAGGGCCAGAGGTGTCTGTTGGGAGAGCAGCCTCCTCCATGCTGTTGTGATGGGAATTCATGCCTTACCTTCGAGTGATTCCTGGCTCTGGGCCTGTAACCATCCAGGACTCTGTATTCTCAGGTGACTGGACACGCTGCAGTATGCAAAGGGTGGGTGGGTTTGGCCCTACCTCACCGCTCTGCTCTTCTAGAGAAGTCCCCGGGGCAACTCCTCCCATGCAGAGCAGATGCTCCCACCCAGGCCAGCAGCTGCCAGGAGCTCCCGGTGAATGAGAGGTTTACACCCCCTCTGCTCCTCACCTCGGAGCGCTTGTGTTGTCTGGTCTCGCCTTGTCTCTGGTTGATGCACAAGGAGTGATAATAAACCAACCATGTTCCCCTCAAAGTACTTGGGATTCTCATGCTCCACACTGGGATAAGAGGTAGCTGTCTGTGGAGTAAGGCTGGCAGAGGAACATATGTGTTCCATGCAAGCAGAGCAGTGTGAGGTTGAGAACCTGCTCCTCGGTGGTCAGAGCAAGGCTGGCTCCCACCCCAGCCCTGGTGCCACCTCAGCCATGCTTTGCAGAGAGGCTGGCAGCACGTCAGGGTGCTGGAGTACCCGGTCCTTACCTCAGCTGCCTCCTGCAGGAACATCTCCAGCTGGGATGCAGAGCTATGCAA